CAAAGAAGGAGCTGAATAAAATTGCTAGAACACTATGCGATAAAGTTGCCTTCTATTTAGGAAAGCCTCGGCGACAAAAGACAAGTTAGGAGCGACAGAACAATTCAATATACATCATTTTATTTTTGGTTATTCTGAGCTGAGTCGAGTGTAGTGGAGTATAAATCAGCAAAGAACTGTCCAAGAATTAATTTTTTGCGGCACGGTTTGGGAGGTGAGGGGCGGAGGGGGGGGGGGGTTTGAGGATCGAGGTGGGACCTTTAACGATTGTCCTTCTTGGTCGTACCTGACCTTAATCGGTTCTACAGACCTGTTGCCACTAAATTAGCATAGGAATAAGTAACCCTTGCAAGTACTTGTGAAAGTGTAGTCTCCGAGGGTCTCTCATTTTTTGCAAAAGTGAATGTTTGCCATAGCCACCTGGAAACAGTTGCTTCGTCAGGTCTTTTGCCCTGGGCAAAAAAAGACCTGCAGGGAAGACCAAAAGAGATCTTCTTCCGTGCAGCCCAGCAATATTATATGAAAATATTCATTTTGGGAATTGTCTTTATTAGCATTGCAAAACTTTTGTAACACGTGTGATCAACAGAGGCGATACCGGGTTTTAGTTGTCAGTGCTATGAGTAACTGCATAATTATGAGCATTAGGCTATTTTCTCAATATTAATATTATATTTGATAAGCAAAAGTTAGCTATGAGCAATATTGTTACATAAAGGTAGGACATGAGTTAATGCGAAGAATCGCTCGCAAACCGCGCAATTAGCTAGCGACGTCGCAAAGTCTGACACTTGCCTATGGGTACAGTTGATAATCAGGTCGAGGAAATTCGACAGGGGGGTCGTACCTGTCGGCTGGTCTATGGGGGGTCGTACTCTTGGGGTCAGTAACAGAAGTGGTATCATCGTGGTGCAGATAGGTAATAGGGTATAGCGCAGCAGAAAATGAAAATATCTGAAAAAAAACATGATATTAAATTTTCTTTGCAGGTTCAGTCGCTCCATTCCTCCACCTTCATGAGAAGGGCGTATTTGAAGGCAGTACAAAGAATGAAAGTGCATCCCCGCAAAGAAGACTGCCACATGTGCGCACGCGCTGCAAAGGCACCTCCTCTGCCTATCGCTCGCTCCTTCTCCCTTAATACCTCGCTGAGAATGACACTGTTGTTAGGGACCCTGTCGCAAAAACGACAACCGTGAAGGAAAAGCCCTGGGCAAATGAAGTTGTTCTTCAGGTTATAGGAGTTACGAAATGTGTTTACTACAATGCAGCTTCTGTCAACTGGTCATGATCATATAACACCTTTCAATCGATTCTGCAACTTCGAGTGGAGGTCGGATGCATGGCCTATACCAGACAAAATCGGATGATGACGATTGCCCCTTTTCTTATTGCTTGCGTTGGAAGATTTTTTCTAGACACATTTCGAGCGTTGCCAACGAATTACACTTGCAATGGTGAAGGAGGGAGCGGATTTTCAGGTGGCCGGATCCGTCCTCGATACATACTCGACGCAGATATCTTCTCAACTAGGAAATGTAGAAGAAAGCTAAGAAGACCATCAGAAAGCGCAAACCTTCCGCTTTCCAAAACTATCTTCCCTTTTTCAGGATCTTACGACATTAGAGAGATATTGCTTTTGAAGTGGCAAAAACTCGCGTGAAAATTTCAGCGTCCTCGACGTTTACTCGACGAAATTTGAGAGACCCTATCTTTCTGCATGGAAGGCTTTCAGAGCAATTTCAATACTTCTTGGAAACGCGAAATCCAGCTCTATCTAACCCTACCTCAAACTGCTTCAAAGGTTATGAAATGGAGGAATGCAACCTTTTCATCGAGGGTGTAGATTTCGACGGTTTTTTTCGGGATTTCAGCAAATCTGACCCAGTGACAATCGCGCCGCAGCTGCCGTTGAATCGGCCTTTGATACACTCGGCTGTTTTGATATACTCAAGCAAGGAATCAAGATTGAATCGCAACCCCGTGTCTTCAGGATTTCTGTGCATTTCTGAACGAACCTGACTTTGAGGTCACACAAAGTTAATGCCTCTTTCCTCGAGTCGATATTTCAGTAAATACACAAAAGTGTGCAGCGATGGAAAGACGTGCATAGATGACAAGATGAAGCGTCCTTAGCATTATTTTGCAGAATTTTTTTTGATTTTTTTTGATTTGTTTTGCAGGATTTATTTTAATTGAATTAATTTGCTCTGTTAGAGGGGGTCGTGCCAGGATCTCGATTTCGGGGGGGGGTCGTACCTCTGCGACCACGTACTCGACACGATTTTCACCCTGCTTGGGAGTCACCTGATGGACAGTTCCATAACGAGATAGACCACATCATCTTCAATCGAAGGTTTTGCCTGACCGACGTCGCTGTTGTTCCAAAGTTCTACACGGGATCGGACCATCGTCTCCTCCGCGCAACTTTTCGATGCGTGTTGAGAGAGCCTCAAAGTTCAGGAAGCGAAGCCCCAGGACAGTCATCAACTGGGATCACTTCGCTTCTCTTGTCAGCTTATGGGAGGATTCCGTTATCGAAAACATCGACGAGGAATACTCATCGGCTCGTTGAACATCTTCACGAGAGTGGCAGGAAGGCAGAGAGTTTGCAAGTCACCAAAGGACGTCTGTCTACGGAAACTCTCGAGCTGATACGCCAACGTGGAGCCGCACGAGCTGCAGGCAATCACCAACTCACCGTCCGAGCTTGCGAAGCTATGCAGAGAGGCGATAAAGGAAGATCTCAAGGAGCGAAGAGCAGCAGTATTAGCTGAAGCAGCAGAGGCTGGGAGGAGCATCCGCAATGCCCGCCGAAGCTTTGCCAGCTACAAGACCAAGATGACCTGCCTCCGACGTCCGGATGGAACAGTTACTGCATCCCGAAGGGCAATGGAGAAAGTCATCCACGACTTCTACTCGGATCTCTTCGATAGCCATGTCCATCTGCCCACTTATCAACTGCAACAGGATGGATACGTCGTCCCCTCAGTTCTCTCTTCCGAAGTCCGACACGCCATCAAGTCGGTGAAGAATCGTACAGCACCCGGTCTCGACAGGGTCAAACCGGAACATCTGAAGAATGCACCGCCAGTTATCATCAAAACTCTGGCTCGACTCTTCACGCGCTACCTGTCGGAATGCAAGGTACCCACTCCGTGGAAAACCAGCAGGACCGTGTTGCTGTACAAGAAGGGAGACTTGGACGACATTGGCAACTATCGCCCAATCTGCCTGCTGTCTGTAATCTACAAGCTATTCACTCGAGTCATCCTCAACAGGATGAAGGACAGCCATGCGAGCAAGCAGGGTTTCGAAGAGGGTTCAGCACGATCGACCATATCCACACGGTTACAAGACTCATTGAAGTTTCACGAGAGTACAAGATGCCGCTTTGTCTCACGTTCATCGACTTGAAGAAGGCCTTCGACTCTGTGGAGACAGAAGCGGTCATCGAAGCCTTGGGCAACCAGGGCGTACATCAAGATTCTTCGTGAGCTCTACAGCAACTTTACGACCAGAATCTCACCATTCTACAAGGAGGTCATCATCGACGTCAAGAGAGGGGTTCGACAGGGCGACACCATCTCGCCCAAACTCTTCAGCGCCGCTCTCGAGAACGTCATGCGTCAACTGGAATGGGAAGACATGGGAGTGAAGGTCGACGGCCGGCAACTACACCACCTTCGTTTTGCTGACGACATCGTTCTTATAACGCCGAACATCGAGCAAGCGGAGCGAATGCTGGCTGATTTCGACTGCGCCTGTGGTAAGGTCGGTCTACAGCTGAACCTAACGAAGACGATGTTTATGAGAAACGGATTGGTTCCTGATGCCCCATTCACGCTCAACGATCAATAAAATCAATAGATGAACGATCTAGCTCCAGAGCTGAGCAGGAGGAAACGAGCTTGGGGAGCGTACAAGAACATCGAGGGAGTAGTGAAGAAGACGAAGAACATCCGGCTCCGTGCCCACCTCTTCGATTCCGCTGTCCTTCCTGCCCTAACCTACGCCTCAGAGACTTGGACTCTGCGCAGGCAGGACGAGCATGCGGTCAGCGTTATCCAACGCGCTGTCGAGAGGACGATGCTAGGAGTAACCCTATACACGCAAGTGCAGAGGGGAATCCGGAGTGCCGAACTACGCCAACGATCGAAGATCAGGGACGCTGCCGTTTTCGCCAAGGAATCGAAGATAAGGTGGGCCGGACACGTCATGCGATTTTGCGATGACCGTTGGACCAGAGCGGTTACCGACTGGATCCCTCGGGACGTCAAACGAACACCTGGACGACCGCCGGCCCGATGGTCAGACTTCTTCACGAAAGCTCTGAACGAAAGGAATGAAGGACTTCGTGTCCCTCGAGCGAGGAGGGTCCACTGGACAACTCTGCACGCGACAGGGACGAATGGAGACGTTGCTGGCGCCCGCTCGAGCAAATTCGATGATCAACGGGACGACAGGTGATACAGGTGACAGTTGTTATTCAGTGGCTTCTGCACAACTGAGAGCAGCTACTACACTGGTTTTAGAAGAGCTCGGAATGGAGAGGAAGTGTGAATGGGAAGCCAGCTACGAAAAAAGCAGCGAACTCGTGAATAGTAGCGAGAGAAGTCAAGTATTCCAACTGATCATTTCCGACCAAGGATGAGCGGCGGCTAAGAAAGTTGTGGTTTGAACGTGTTGAGACTACGATGCCGGTATCACGCCAAGAAATATCACCTCTGTGATTGATAACGCATTACACAGAACCTTAGAGGATACGGTTGTTTGAAGTGTTACAAACCTTTTTTAATATCTCTTTCAAAATATGTGTGAGCGACGGTATTAGCTATACAGATCGGTCAGATCTCCAAATAAATAAGTAGGCGAAATGGCACCCGATGGTCTAGTCAAGAACCCTGCTCATATTTGTACAATTGCGTTCTTAAACTGCTATCTTGCGACCTTACACACGTAAAGTCGCACGAGGTTGCAATCAGATTGCATATAACACCCTACCAGGCAAGTGATGTCCTTTTTTTCTTCTTCATCTTTTCTGAATGTTTTCTCTTCGGTTGGATTACGATGGCAGAAGGTGCTGTCTCACGCTAAATCCTTTTTTGACCGCGGCAATTACGTCCGTCAGTATTCAAATGGATACCTTTGAATGCATCTTGCTTCTCATTCCCACGATGAGACGTGTTATGTGAGCAATAACCATAATGAGAACGATAATGAGGGTTACCTAGAACACAAGCCCACGCCTTCAACAGATACAAACTTTGCTATTTTCAATACTCTAGGATTTCAATCATTCAACTTGTAACAAGCTCTAAAGTACACTCACCGATATGAACACTGTTATGTGACTGATACGACTAGGCATGTTTTTAATTATATTGGCGGCTTGATGGGAAATTTTCGATTCACTGAAGATTAAGAAAAATCAGCGTTGAGATGCCGCAAAGGGAAACAAGGTCTTATGAAAAGCAATGTGTTTAGTGACCTTCGAACTAGCGTGTGTCAGTGATCTTCGAACTAGCGAGGGCTTTGATATTCTCATGGAACTTTAAAAAAAATCCCGGCATTTGGAGTGTGCAACCTAATTACAAATATGGACGCAAAAGCTCTTACGTAGGTTCTCTACGAAAGTTGTGATTTTTCGAAATTGAAATCCAAGGTGTCAGAACTTATGGGGCGGCCACAACAAAGACTACTTTTATTGGTCTTCTCTTCTAGTGCACGGTAGGCCGCGGAGCGGTTGAAAATCCAAAGAAGCGCGATGCTCATCACCGGATGTCCGACCTAGCTGTGTGAGAGGTTAGGCACTCTGTTGAAGTTTAGGCGCACCATGAGATGCAGGCCGAACGGTAAGCCGTGGAATTTGGCATGGTCATTGACAAGAGGATAGAGGATTGAAAGGTCTGCAATCTCGGAAAAAAGCTATAAACACCTACAGAATTTGAGCTCAAAATTTGGTGCAATATTTATGGGACACCCTGTAGAATTAGAGGAAAATGGAACCAGCTACTAACGGGCTACACTACCCAATGACTGCCTTCACTTTCGTTGTAGGAGTCAAATTTTTGATTTGGATGAAGATTTATCACGAAGGGTAGGGTGCCTTCCTAAATACGATGGTCACGCTCTTTTTGCGAGAATGCGCCCCGTTCGTGCGTTGTGTGTAGTAACGTGCAGCAGTGCCAAACCCAGAATATTTAAGGAAAAATTCATCGAAAAACGACAATCTACCCGCTATTAGCGTACTATGAAAAAAAGCAAAGAAAACCGGGTGGAGGGGTCTGATCCGCTGACGTCGTTCCCGCAAATCCGCCTCTTTAATCGTTAAGCCATTACACCAGTTGTGGTGAAAATACACTTCGCAATTTCGTCCAGTGCGCCGTTCTGCAAATTTGGAAGACACATTTGACCAGCGTTTGGAGGCGCATCAGAGGGTGTGCATCTCATTTGAAAGGGCCAGTTTGACCTACCTTCCTTCACTGGTTAACTCTTCAGCGTGCTTTATGTAAAATGACTCCTCTCTCGAATTACCGTACGGGTGAACTTTCGCAGTACCGTACCAGGCTTTCAGAGTCATTATTCTGATCATCAAACTCAAGGAGGAAGTTTTGAGTCGTGCCCCTGATCTTGAAGCTTTCTCATTTAGGGTAGTTCAGTATATGTGGGTTCCTAGCTTTTACAGGGAAGACGACTGACACAAATGCCGTGATGCTATGTATGGTCCTATGTATGGTGATGCTATGTATGGTCCCCCTGCTATGTAGTTCGACATATGGATGTCATCAGGCCTAGGACTGCTTTCAAGCTACCTTGTCTTTCCGATGGTTCACTTCTTCAATGCCTTAGTCTACAAAAAAATTCAGGATATACTGGAAATGACTCATCTAGATATCTACAAAATCAAGAGTTGACAATAGCTCTATCTTGCTAAGTCTTCTTTCAAAAACAGAAGAGTTATTCGCTTCCATAATGTTAGATGGAAGCATTTGCAACCACTTAGGTCCCCGAAAGAAAACGAGGTAAGGGTCCGGGCCTGAAAACACCTGTATATACGCACATATTGTAGAGCGAGAAGCCTTACGCGACCACAGCAGGGCCTAAATACCCAATACTTACTAGGCTCAATCCTGAACACACCTGTCAAGAGTTTGAAACAAAATTAAATCATTGAAAACTGGCCGGCAGAGGAGGATTTTCAGATAGAAGATTTTTAGCCTGTCACTGCTAGCTAGGTGTTGCAGTGGCAGAGTATCACTAATACAGTGCGGTGCAAAATCATAGGACATCCCTAAAAAATATGGAAATCTCGGCTTCTAGAATGCTCCGTTTGTCTGTTATATGGGTCTGATTGCTCTACCACGAGCATCGAAGCTATTTTTAGGAGCTCGAGGAACACCGTAGCTTGGCACTTCGTGTTCTTTCTACGAATAGAAATAAGAAAGCGGAAGAATACTCGATGGCTACATCGAACAAAATCGCAATGTTCTCTCAGCCTCTACGAAAAGAAGCGGATAAAACTGAAATCCTCTGGCAAAATCACTGATATGGACAACTAGCGTAGGGTCCTGCGAAGCGTGCTGCCATGCTCGTTAGGCGTTCTGACTGAAACCAGAGAAGAGAAATCTAACGAAAGACTGGGCCGAAGGCTGGGCTTTGTTGAGCAAATTTTCATTCAAGGATAATAAGTAATTTGTTCCTTTCAGACCGCTTTTCTCGGTAACAAGAAGTTTAACTGTAATGGGTCAGATGACACTGCTCACTAGTAGAGGAATATAAGCCGCTAGTCGAAGATACCTCTTTAGTAAATTTTTCGTGGTGGTTACCGTGACCCTACGCTAGTTGTCTAAGTCAATGATTTTACTGGATGGTTTAATCCGCCTTCTGTCGAGTGTAAGCACAGTGATCACCTGTACCCAGTTAGTCTTTCTTCTAGCTCTGACTCATCTCTTTCAGGGCGGAGACCTTCGGCGCCGCCGACCGGAGAGACGTCTGGCAGCAGCGGCCGAGGACCGCGACCTCTTCCTTCTTCTGATCTCGTTTCTCATCTTCCAAGGGCGACGCCCTCAACACCAAGAGCTGCTTTCCATCCGATCATCTCTATTGTGCCTTTATGCGTATTCGTGTAACGTAGTTCAACGAATTTGTTGTGTATTTCATGTTTATTCGATCGTTAATCCGTCTGTATTGGTGTCTTAAGGATAAACGTTAGTTATCAGCTTCTTGGGTATCAAAGGAATGATCAAGCAGCTTTCACGGCGCGCGCTCGCTTACTCGAGATCTGACCCAGGCTGAGCGCGCATGGTGACTTTGTTTGTTGTATCGTTGTGGTTATACGCCAATCCTTCCGGGGAGGTTCTGTAGTTATCCTGGTGCCCTCTTATTTCTATTCGTAGTGAGAATTTGGAGCACCAAGCTATGGTTTTCTTTGAGCTCCCAAAAATGGCTTCGATGCTCATGGTAGAGCCATCAGGCGCGTATAAAAAGAAAGTCTGGCTTTCACTCGCGGAGGAGAGGGGAGCAACTCAAACCGTAATTCTAGTAGGGTTACCATACACCGTATAAGTGTTGCTATCGTTGCTGGTTGGATCGGGTACCCCCAGGAGGCCCGTCGCGCTGCAGAAAGGCAAGATCAGTAGATACTGCCGTTCATGACTTTCTTGACCAGTTTTTTGGCCGAAGTCTACGTATAAAGGTTGCTGACAGCCCTAACTATAGATATGACATAAGTTGGCTGACGCTATTTTTCGCGAATTTTGAAACGCCAACACAAAATGCAAAAATTGTCACTGCGAGGATTCGATTCGAACCACGGACCACTTCATCACCCCTTTTTTAGTATTCAGAGGGCCGCTCAGGAAAAATGAACTACAGTTCTGTGTTCCATGCACGTACCCCTATATCATGCAAAAACCGTTTCGAGAAATTTGGGCCATTCCATGAAAGAACTTCCTCGTAAGGTTCCGCAGGCTCTCCAGTTTCATTGAAGTCCACCATTGTTGCGCATGAAAGCGAAGCTGAGCTGATGTGCTTATAACAACTTTGTAAACACGAAGCATCCTACTACTTTATATAATCCGCTAAGCGGTCGTGCGTGTGTGTGTGTGTGTTTGTCTGTCTGACCGGAAATTCATAACTTCGTTCCCTTTGGACCCAGAGCGCTCAAACTTCTAGGATATATAGGGGCGGACGTGAACACTGATGATGGGTGGCGGGAAGTGATAAGTACTGATAGAAGCTGATAACGGCGTCAGAATGCCGATGTCACCAATTTCGTTACGCCGTTCGCGTTGGCAGTGGACTGTTAGCACTCATGAATATTGTACTGGTAAGGGGCGTAGAAGTGTGGATACCACAAGTTCCGTTGCCGCCTTTGCAGTAACAGAGAACCTTGGCTCATACAAGTGGCATGAGGGATAGGACGGGAACACGGATAGTGGTTGATCGAAAGTGATAACAACTGATAACAGTTGATAAGGAAGTTAAGAATTTGAGTACCACTAATTTCGTTGTAGCCTTCGTGGCGACAGTAAAACACTAACTCCTACACATTGCATGGGTGTGGGACGGGAACACCGATGGTGAACGGTATGAACTGATAACAAATGATAAGGAACGATAAGGAGCGTCTGAATGCAAATGTCCCAACTTCGTTGCAGTCATCACTGGCAAACGATCAAGGGAGCGAGGTGTTGATGGTGGGTGACAGGAGTGGTAATGAGCGTCAACTGTACTGATAAACGTGGCGACAACTGAGTGTGCGCTCATTCAAATTGAATCAGGTTCTTAGCACGTGAATATGTTCAATTCCTACCACTCAACTCTTTGAACTAACCAATAGCGAATTTCCATCAGAGCTAGGCTAGATGCTGATTGATTGGTTCATATTTCACTTACACACCGATTACTTCAATTGTGAAAATTCTATAGACCGCTAAATCATCCGAGCTCGATATCAATGCTAAATGTTTACGAAGTCATGATAAGTACCATTTTCATTCCGCATGCTACTGCGCGCATTACGCGACAATCTTCAGCGAAATTGGACAACCTTTGAATCTCATGTGACGCATCTTTCGAAACATCTTACTATTAGTTTCTCAGCCACGTGACCTAATATTTTGCGAGTTGTCCAGTCTCACTGAATCCCACATGCGATGCGCGCAGTCGCGTGCGGAGCTTTTCGTAAATCCTGACAAATTAACGGTAAGTGCGGTTTTGCTGTTAACCTCAAGATCAAAATGAAATATGCTCTCTATAATAAGTGAGTATCTAGTGCTTATTTTTGCTTCACATTCACACTCTTCAGAACGCAAGCATCGCTAATCTCGTTTTGTCATTCATATTGGTACTAGAGCGTCCATACTT